TCAGACAGAATGAAAAGAGCAAGACATCAAAACTGTCTGCATTTTTATATTTCTAAAAAACTATATTTTTATACCAAATGAGGACGTCTCTCACACACACACACACACACACAAACGATGAAACCTCACAAACACACAGCGATCGAGGAGCTGTTTTCTAAAGTCTAACACGAAGCACATTCGCTCCGCGGAAGGAAAAAGCCCGATTTATAACGGCCAATCATCAAGCCTGTAATAATATAACATTTCTCCGTTCCAGTTGAAATTTCCAAAACACACACATATATAGAATCCCATTTGTTTTTCATTTGAGCAAGAGGCCTGCGCACACAAACCCACAAGCCCAGTGTAGAGTTTCATCTGGAGTTTAACTCTACCCCTCGAGGGAGAGTTTAGCGTCGCGACGCACCAACAGAACGCGCAGATTACGTTTCAGGCCTTCCCTCCGCGCTGTGAAAGAGCATTTCTATTCACTGGGACTTAGAGGGTCAGCTGAATTTAATGGTCACTTATTGCCCGTTCAGGCACAAAGCCGGGTCTCTGGGACCACCCTGCTCCGACATCGCCTGTGGCGGCAAACCCGGATAATTCCCTCGCTCGCTCAGTGGGAGACAGGTATCCGAGTCCCACACGCGGATCCGCAACACTCATTTCCCTTCAGACGCTTTATTCCAGCAGAAAACCATTACAATGAGAAAGAAACACACAATCCCATCCCGCCGTTTCGCGTTATTAGGCTTTTTTCAGCTGCTTACACACGTTTTCACATCTTAGCCTCTTTTTTTTTTCAAAACTATACACACAAATCCAGTAATTGCACACACAACCTATTCACTGCTGAAACCACATAACTGTGATTTCTTGTTGATAAGATTTACAATCGTATAAATGAAGTGCCTAATCAAAGCGAACACTATCACATCCATTAATGAAGTCGGCTTATGTGAACTCATAACATGATGAGAGAACGCAACTAGAGAAAGAAGAAGAGGGAATGAGTGAAACGTCACTGTGTAACTCTTTTAGTTTGTTTTTAGCTAAAAACACTTAGTTATTTAAAATATATATGTGCTCGTTAACGTATTTACTTCGTTCAAGTAATAAAGTATTCTCGTGAGTGTATAATACGCCATTGAAAATACGTACGGGTAAGGGTTTCGCCATGTTGCCCCTCCATCTTGAAAGTACGTTAGCCAAAGAGGGACATACCCGTTAATTAAGTTAACGCTCATGGACGAGGTCGAACCGGAAGCCATGTTAATCTTGGACTACACTGGCCACCGTAGGAGTTAAAACGAAATCGGAATTGAGAGGAACAGAAACTAATATGCACTGGATGGTCATATACCTTTTCACCACTAGATGGAGGTAAAAATCACGCGGTGTAGCTTTAAAACACATTTCTTAAAATCATCACTCACTTTCTCAAAACCTTAAACAACACCTAGTTTTCAAACCACATTCATGTCCACACTAAAACGTGTTTATTTGAAAACGTATATTTTTCTCTCCGTTTTGGCCTTCCGTCCACACTGAGACGGCGTTTTAAGTCAACAAAAACGTATCGTTTGGAAAACGCTCTCCAAAGTGGATAAATTTGAAAACGCCGTTTTCGCGTTGTAGCGTGGACAGTGAAACCGGGAGGTATTTCAAAACGATGACGTAAGTTTAGTCATGTGATCCATGTAGTACCAATAGATATTCATGTTTATCGGTATTGTGCCTGTTATGTGTTATTAATTTTTACACTATTGCTAAAATATGTTACTTAATATGTGCTATTCTTCATAGCACAGTATTGCAAAGATAACAGATAATGTAGCTTACTCACATTTGCTGTCCTGCAGCAAAACAGCAGAGCAGTTGCGTTTTAGACCAAACATGTGGTTTTATAAATAAATAAAAATAAAATAAAAATTTAAATAAAAATTTAAAAATTTATTAAATAAAAATTTATTTTAAATTTATTTAAAAAAAAATACAAATTTATTTTCCCATCTGTATCATCTCAGTGAGCTTTTGTGAAGTTTCACGCATGCGCAGTAAAGTGAATTTAGAAGTTCCTCATCCACACTGAAACGTCGGAAAACACCTGAAAACGCTAGTGTGGACGGAGAGCGTTTTTAAACGAAAACCCCGTTTTCAAACTTTTCTGACTTTTCCGGCAAAATCAAGCAATCGCCTCAAAAGCATTTCATCTGTTCAGAACTACACACGTTTTCAGATCCGACTCTATCAAACACTGGAGGACACAGAGCCCAAAGCACGCCGTTACAGGAACACAAGTACAGTGACTGGGTAAACTCATCTTCCAAGTTCTGACAGCGTACAGTAGTGTGGTGAATAAATGCTGCTGTGTGCACTGCAAGTGTATATTCAGCTCTGGAATACAGTGAACACACAGTGACACAGGGCAGAACACACAACTAGGGTTGGGTATCGTTTGAATTTGAACGATTCTGATTCCGATTCCGATTCCTTGTTTCGATTCCGGTTCCTAACGATTCTCGATTCCGATTCTTTTAAGAGGCAGGGTCAAAAAAGTTTAGCTAACCTTGCTAACCAACGGCCTTTCTGAAGGAAATACTCCTTCTGTAAAAATACTCCTTTTGTCACAAATTGTGCATTTTGCCGAGATTTCGTTATTTTTAGAAAAGTGAGGCCACACTTTGGACCGCCGACGTAAGGCACTCATGTTCGACTCGCGTGGTTATGCCAACACTTCCGGTAGACGCTTCTTCGTTGGTGTTGTTCAGCGGTCTCTTCTTCCGGTCGGCGGACTGTGAATATCGAAACTAGGAATCGAAATTTTAACTTTTGAACGATTCCGGGAAAAACGAAAAGTTAGTCCCGGTTCCAATCGATACTCGATTCTCGATACCCAACCCTACACACAACCCAGATAGCAAACTGACATTGAATCAACGTGGAAATATGACATCGAAACAACGTTGATCGGACATAGTTTTGCTCATCGAATTAACGTTGAACCAACGTCAGACGCGTCATTCTTTCAAAACTAACGGAAAATCAACTTGAAATCAACGCGTTGTTTCAACGTTATGAAAGCAAACCAATTTTCGATTTTCATTTAGCTTTGAAGAATGCCGCGTCTGACGTTGGTTCAACGTTAATTCGATGAGCAAAATCAACGTTGTTTCAATGTCATGAGAGACGTCGTTTCCACGTTGATTCAATGTCAGTTTGCTGTCTGGGAACGGATACAGTAAAAACTCAGAGAGAGAAACTGATCCTGCTTCACACACTCTTCCTCCTCTTACACACACACACTCTTCTTCTGACAGGATAATTTCATAAGAGTCGCCATCATATGTTGGGTCTAAAACGCTAAACTGATCTCATGTTTGACAGCAGATGTAAGTACGATATGTGAAGTAACATATTTCAGCAAAAATGTGAAAGTCAACCGCACATAACAGGCACAATACCGGTATAAACATCAATATCTATTGCTACAATATGCGTCACATGACTAAACTTACGTCATCATTTTTAAATCCCTCCGTTTTAACAGTGCACACCGCAACACGAAAACGCGTTTTCACATTTATCCACTTTGGAGAGCGTTTTCAAACAACTTCGTTTTCATTAATAAAAATAAAAAAACGCGTCTTCAATGTGACTGAAGGCCAAAACGGAGGGAAAAAGATGCGTTTTCAAACAAAAACAAAAACGAATACGTATTAGTGTGGACAAGGCCTAAGACAGAAACAAACTATTTGCTCTTTAATATCTGCAACCGTCTGATTGGTTAAATTTGTCGCCGCTGAGAAGAGAGATTAGTCCACTAGTCTATATATTACCCAGGATTCCCCTCTCTCTCAGCCTGAGATTAAGGCCTGTGCTCTCTCTGAGCTGAAACAATACAGTAAGCCTGCCAAAAAACAAAGCCCACATTCTCAAGTGCAAAGCAATTTATACTTAATACAACCCAGATCGGCTAAAAAAGAACAGGGGGAGGGAAGAAAAGAAACCAGGAACTTTAGTAATGCACGTACGGTTCAGCTTGGATATTTTCGCTCAGGTTTTTCCACCACATTCACACAAATGAGTTCAGCACATGTGTCAGAACACACCACCAGTCAAACGTGAAGACGTCTCTTCTGCTCAGCAAGGCTGCATTTATATGATTAAAAATACAACAACAAAACAGTAACACTGTGAAATATTATTACAATTTAAAATCATCTGTTTTCTATGTGAATATACAGTAAAGTGTGATTTATTCCTGTGATTTTCAGCATCGTTACAGTCTTCAGTGTCACATGATCCTTCACAAATCACTCTAATATGAGGATCTGATGATCAAGAAAATAATAATATTATTTTCAATGTTGAAAAAAAAACAGAAAGATCAAAAGAACAGCATTTATTTGAAATAGAATATTTTGTAACATTATAAATGTCTTTACTGGCACTTTTGATCAATTTAATTCAACCTTAATGAATAAAAGTATTGCTTTATTTTTTTTCTTTCCCCAAAAAATAAAATAAAATTTCTTACTGACCCCAAACTTTTCAACGGTAGTGTTTAATGCTACAAAATCTTTATATTTCAGATAAATGCTGTTCTTTTGAACTTCATATTCATCAAAGAATCTTGAAACAAAAATGTAAATAACTGTTTTCATCACTTATAATAATCATAACTGTGTCTTGATCATCAGATCCTCAAATTAGAGTGATTTCTGAAGGATCGTGTGACACTGATGAAAGGAGTAATAAATAAATTCCTGAATAAATAATAAAGGAGTAATAAATAAATCCTGAATAAATAAATTTACATTTGACTATATATTCACATTGAAAACAGATGATTTACATTACAATAATATTTAACTGTTTTACTGTATTTTTTTTAATCAAATAAATGCAACTTTGATGAGCCTCTTTCAAAAACATAAATAAACGTACCGATCTTACAATATGGGAGAACCATCAAAATCGATCACTGACACCAAGAAAAAACAGAAACTCACCTCGGCGTGTTGCGTTCTGGGCTGGCTAGCGTCGGATTCGATGGCGTACACGTCCAGCAAGTACAGATCCAAGCCTTGCTCCCGGTCCAGTTCGGCAGCCGTTTGGATCGTCCCGGTGTGGCGTCCGATGGTGAACAGCCGGCCCGCGGCCTTCCCGCCGCTACGAACCGACACAATAAAAAACTCCACCTTGGTGCCGGTGCCTCGAGGACTGGAGGCGTCCAGGGAGATAACGTTGGTTCCCGGCGGCTGGCCTTCCTTTAAAATGGTGATGTATTTGGGTTGGGAGAAAACCGGGCCATCCGTACCCTGAAGGAGTATCGTTAGCTCCGTACGTGAGGTTTTGCGATCCGTGCCGTGATCCGTCGCCGACACGGTTAAACTATAGATGAGCTTTGAGGGAACGAGCTGAGATGCTAATCTGATATCTCCGCTGTAGCGATCCATTATAAACGTGTCTGAATCTCCTCTCACAAGCTCGTACTCCACCTCTCCGTTCGCCCCTTCGTCCGGATCAAAAGCGATCACAGTTGTCAGAATGGATCCGATCACGATGTTGGATTCTGCAACTAGTGCATTCTGGGAGATAAACGTCGGGATGTTGTCATTTTGGTCCGTCACCCAGATAGTGACGTTTTTAAGAGCGAAACGGCGAAACTCGGATGGCACGGCTTGGTCAGTGGCTTTGATTGTAAGCTCAAACAGGTTTGAGAACTCTCGGTCGATGTTTTTATTGGTGTAGATCACGCCAGACGAAGGGTCTATGCTGAAGTGAGCACCCCTGGGTGTCTGCTGGACGATTGAGTACTCCAGCTCGCCGTTGATATCGGCGTCCGTGTCGTGAGCCGCGATAGTCATAACCGAGGTTGAGAGCGGGAGGTTTTCAGGGATTGACTTAAAAATGTCACCTGGTGTAAAAACAGGAGGGTTGTCGTTAAAATCCCTCACGTGGATTATAACCGGAATAGAGGAAGACTTAGACGGCCTTCCGTTATCTTTAGCCGTCACGTTGAGTTTGTAAAGCGACTGAGTCTCAAAGTCAAGTTTCTTGACTAGGAAGATGCTGCCGGTGTTGGGACTGATGCTGAACGTGCCGTGGTTGTTTGTAGCAGAAATGCTGTACGTGATTTCAGCGTTGGAGCCCGAATCAGAGTCCGTGGCGGTTATTGAGGCGACTAGCTCTCCGATCCGCATGTTCTCCAGCACATCCACCGTGAGGGTTGATTTGGGAAAAGACGGAGAGTTGTCGTTATCATCCAGAACGCTGATGCTCAGCACACAAGTGGATGACAGAGGCACAGTCCCAGAGTCCTCAGCTATAATTTTAAGGGAGTAAAAGGGCGTCGACTCAAAGTCTAGCTTCCCCACTAGCGTAACCTGACCAGAGCTGCCATCAATGCTAAACTGTTTTTCCTCATTTCCCTCTATTATGTCGTAGCGAACGAGTCCGTTTTTATTTTCATCCACATCAGAGGCAGAGACTCGGAGCAGTTGCGTCATGTTCGGTGCGGATTCGGAGATTGAGCCCTGGTAAATGTCTTTGGTGAACTTCGGCGGGTTGTCGTTGATGTCTTGTATGTAGACTTGAACTTTAGCCTGGTCTTTGAGAGGCTTGGGAAGGCCTTGGTCGGAAGAAACGACCGTGAAACTGAACACCGAAGCTCCTCGTTGCCTCATGAGAGATTCACGGTCAAACTGTAGCGTGCTAGTCAACACGCCCGTGATGGCGTTGAGCTCGAAATTTAGCTGTGGCGTTTCAAAGGAATAACGGACTTCGCAATTCGGCCCGAAGTCTTTATCCTCAGCGAACACGCGCCCGACGAGCGACCCTCGTTCCCGCTCTTCCTCGAAGTGAAACACGTAATTAGTGCTGTTGAAAAGCGGACGATTGTCGTTGACGTCGTCGAGGAGAACCGTCACATTAACGCTCGCGCTCAGCGGCTCGACGGCTCGGTCTTTAGCCACCACTAATAAACTATACCGATCTTGTACTTCTCGGTCCAAATCTGCTTTGATATACAACTGTCCATCGGGGAAAATCCCAAAAACGTCGTTCGTGTTCCCGCTAGCGATGTCGTACACGATTTCCCCATTGAGCCCAGAGTCTTTATCGCTGGCCTCCACTTTAAAAAAACGGCTATTTACCGGCTCGGATTCCAAGATGGTGACTTCGTAGGAGAGCTGGTCGAACACCGGCGCGTTGTCGTTAACGTCGTACACGCTAATAGTGAGAATAAAGCTGGATGTGCGCTGAGGGACGCCGAGGTCAGAGGCCACGACCTCCAGCTGGTAGGAACTGGTTGTGACCTCTAGGGGGCCGGTGAGCGAGATCAATCCGTGCTTTTCGTGAATGTGAAACAAACCTTTAGGGTTTTGTTTGAGGCTGTACACGATCACGCCATTTGTGCCTTCATCCGGATCCGAAGCTTTCGCCTGGAATATATGGAGGCCGGCGGCCCAGTTTTCAACAGCGCTAACGTGCTCGACCGCATGAATAAAACGAGGTGCGTTATCGTTTAAATCTTTCACTGTGATGTTAACTAGCGCTTCCCCTGTAACCTCCCCACTCCTAGCGATCACCGTTAGCTGGTAAAACGCCTGTTCTTCTCTGTCTATAACACCTGACGCTATGATCTGCCCAGTGCCGCGTTTAACGTCAAACAAACCGCGTTGGTCGCCCGACGCGATTAAATACGTGATATTAGTGTTCAGATCTACAGTAGTGGCCGACACAGTCCCGATGATGCTATCAATCGCCACATTTTCAAACATAACGAAGCTGTATTCGTTCTGACTGAATACGGGAGGGTTATCTTGCGTATCTATAACCGTGATCGTGACTATAGCGTGTGTGTGCGAACGCAACCCGCCTCCGTCGGTCGCCGAAACCTGCAGCTGATACGTGGTTTTTTCCTCTCTATCGAGTGGCACCAGAGTCGTGATTTTACCAGAGTTGCCGTTAATGTGAAACTTGTAGGAGTCGCCAGCGGTGATGGCGTATTTAACAGTGCCGTTGCGACCCAAATCAGGATCGGAAGCGGTTACGATACTCACGAATGAGCCGGCCGGCTCGTTTTCTTTTATATTAGCGAAATATTGCACGGGGTAAAACACTGGGCTGTTATCGTTAACATCTTTCAGTGTGATGTTAACTTTGCAGCCGGAGTAAAGAGGAGGCGTTCCTGCATCTGTGGCTTTGATGTATAGAAGATACGAGCTTTCCTCTTCTCTATCTAACTCAGACGCTGAGCTCAAACGGCCTGAAATCGCATCTAATCTAAATCGACTCTGAACGCTAACCGGGGTTTCGGTGTCGAACGAGAATCGGATCGTGCCGTTTGACCCGAGATCCGAATCCGTCGCAGACAACACCACAAGCTCGGATCCGACAGGGGAATGTTCGACCAACGAAACGTGATATGTGTTTTGCGTAAAAGTGGGGATTTGATCATTAACGTCTGTTATGTTCACAATCAATTTGGTGTAGGAGATTCTCGGCTGCAGGCCTTGGTCTTTGGCGCTGATATTTAGCACTATTTGAGATGCTTTTTCTCTATCGAGTTCTGCCGCACTGGTGACCAAACCACTGTTCTCACTGATGGCAAACCAACCCAAACTGTTTCCAGACACAAGTGAGTAACGGAGATTGGCGTTTTGCCCGGAGTCTCCATCTGTGGCCGAGACCCCTTTAATGTAACTGCCTTTGGGAATGTCTTCGCTTATGTCTACTTTATACACAGCTTCCTGAAATATAGGCGGATGGTCGTTAATATCATTCACGAATATAACCAGACTTGCGAAGGACGAGCGGGACACGGGCTTGCCGTTGTCCGACACTGAAACGGTGAGGTTGTACGAGGAGATTCTCTCTCTGTCTAACACACTTGCTACTTTGATCAGACTCAGATTTGGGACGGGCGAACTGTGAACGTCAAAGTGTCTCTGCTCGTTCCCACCGAGTATCGAAACCGAGATGTTACCGTTAGCGGTGGCCGAATCCGAGTCCGAAACGGTCAATAATGCTACGACCGTCCCGACTTGTGCGTTTTCGTCCACCGAAGCGAATTTGGACGTTGTAGGGAAGTAGCGAAATTTAACAACAGGGTCGTTGTCATTAACGTCAAGCAGTTTGATAGTGGCTTCAGACCTGACTGAGAGAGAGGGAATGCCGTTATCCACAGCATGGATGGTTAGGGAATACTCTTTCCTAGTTTCATAGTCTAACCCGTCCTTTATAATAACAGTCCCGGCTTTGGGGTCGATCTGAAATGGAGTTCCTTCATCTAAAAGATATGTAATATCAGCATTCGCACCCTCATCCAAGTCTGTGGCTGATATCTGAAGTACACTGGAGCCAATGGCAGAGTCCTCAAACACACTGGTCTGATACTGGTCCTGGTCAAACGCAGGCGGGTTGTCATTTATATCCTGAATTGTGACGTTTACCTGCAGGTACCCGAACTTTTTAGGTTCTCCTTTGTCTTCAACCTGGATTAGGAGCTGATAGAAAGGGGTTATTTCTCTGTCAAGCCCTCCTGTGGACACGAGGTGCAGAAACGCGCCTTCACCGCTCGGGTTTACGGTGATATCCAGGCGAAATTTACGCTGATCGTTCCCGTTAATGATTCGGTAAGTCGTGTGATCCACTCCATTGGTCCCGATGTCTGAATCCGTCGCGGTGTCTAATATCACCTGACGCCCGTTGCTCGCGTCCTCTTTAAACGACACCACGATCGACGCGTCGGGAAACACGGGCGCGTTATCATTAATATCCAGAACCACGATCCGCACTTCGGTTGGGTAAGTCGGCTGACTGGATAAAACCACGACATTAATGATATTACTCGGCAAAACTTCTCGATCGATCACCGAGGACGTGTATATGACGCCCGTCGTGGCGTTGATGGAAAAAAGTTTGTGTTGTTCGCTGAATCTGTATGTGAAAGTGGGTTTGGTGTTGATAGTGCCCACATATGTGCCCATCGGCTGCTCTTCCAGAACCTCAAACTCCTGCCGAACTTGACTGGATAAAGAATAGCGCGATAAAGTCCATAAAACGAATAAAATGAGGTGCAAAGTGTCCATAGATGTACCTGAACGCGCCATGATCACGGATCCAGTCAGGGTTTTTCCAAGCCTGATACATTCAACTCACATTTGCATTGTATCCAAAAAAAGAAAAAGAAAAGAAAGAAAAGATTTAAAAAAAGATGATTATATATCCAAATGCATCCGCGTTTGGTGTTTTAAACAAACTTAAGGTAAAGTTGAGATCTTACTGTTGTAATTCCACGGGTTTAATCCTTCAAAAAATCCTTTTACGGGAGGAAAATGAGTTCATTCGCATGCAGTAAAATCCTGTCAGAACTTCACCCTGCAAAACTCAACGCGTTCCTCTCATGATGAGGAAGATGATGATGATGGAGTTTCCATTGTGAGGAGAAAGGAAAAGTAAATCCTCAGTTCTCACACTGCACAAGAGTTTTCCCTGGAGGAGATAAAGGAGCTCTGATATTATCCCTGTGATTCTGATACGGGATGTCCCGCGGAATAACGGTGACCAAACTTCACTTTACTGCCCTGACAGAGAACAAAAGCCCGAGTTGAGAAAGTGCCCGCCCTCCTGTCCAGCCATTGGCTCTCTGTGTAAGACCCCGCCCCTCTCTGGCTCCCCTTTCTATTGTAAAGTCATCGCCTCGGCTGCTGATTGGACGAGGAGGATGTCAATCATCGCATGGACTGAATAGTACATGCGAGTTGCGCTCCAGGTACTGGATGTACCGTTATGTGCCCACAATAACATTCCCAACTTACCGTAGTTTTTATAACTCTTCATTAGTGTTTTAAATACATTTATATATTTGGTAAAACTTTAAAATAAGGTTAACAACATTAATTATCATGAACTAATAATGAACTACACTTATACAGCATTTACTAATACATATATTTAAATTAATACATTTACTAATAATATTATTAAATTAGTTAATGCACTTTGAAATAACATGAACAAACAATGAACAGCTTTATTTTTATTAACTAACATTAATAAAGATGAACAAAAACAGTGACAAATGTATTGCTCATTGTTAGTTTATGATGTTAACTAATGAACCTTACTGTAAAGTATTGATTTTTTTTTTTTTTTTTTAGAAAATTCTTTTATCAAAATTTTTTTTTTCAATAACAGAAAGTTTCTGACGTCGAAAATCTCAAGCTTTGTTGTTTTTTTTTACCCCGAATTTCAAGGCTTTTTTTTCATATTAGAGTTTCTCATGCTCGTTTGGGAAAATTAGCTATATTAGTTTATTAAGTTACAAATACAATCAGGGGCAACAGTTTATCAATGAAATGTCCCTGCGGTGTGTGTGTGTGTGTGTGCAGATTCACCAGCGCGTGGCGCCATCTAGCGGTCAGATACAGACAGTAGTGTAAAGTTTCACGAATGAAGCCTAATCACGTATTGCAGGGTGAAATATCCTCTTTATTAACTGCTGATATATATATATATATATATATATATATATATATATATCTTTATTTACTGCTGATATAAAGCTTCTCCTCGTCCGAGTGGAAATGATGTCCGGCAGATCCGGTTCTCGGTTCTCACAGTAAATCGGATTATGCGCAGGATCTGCTCCACTAATCTCCCAGCGTTCAGTCCTGTGTCGTTACTCAGTTTGTGCTGATCTTTTAATTGGGCCAATGCATTGATGTTTCTTTCCTCTTTAATTAAAAATGTCTTCTGGGTCTGATGAGGCTAATTTTAGCCCATTAATGCAGCACACTGACCTACTTGAAGAACAAACAAGCACACAAATGCCCAGGAAGCGTTCGAGACTGTATTGATCCAGTAACTAACCGATGTGAAACATAAACTAGGCCTGCTTTAGGAACACGACACACGCAGAAACACTCAGAAACACTCTTGATGATAAAGTTCAAATAAAGTTCAAAACCGCACTCTAAAATACTGGGAATATGATGCATATTGTGCTGGAAAACAAGACAGAAACATATTTTTTGCAGTGTGTGTGTGTGTGTTTTTGTTTATGTGTGTGTTGTGACAACATGCCCCGGTTTATTTAACCACGTCTGATCACACAGTGCACTGAGAGACACACACACACGTGTTGAGACACTAAACTAAACTCCCCGAGTGTGTGGACAGAAGCAGTATTGTCGTGTATTAACTGGATATACGAGCGGCCGCTGTTTGTTTAACACACATTCAGGGTTTAAATGGTCGTTTTAATTTCCCCTGGATTTTCCCTCTCTCTCACACACACACACACACACACACACACTCTGTGTTTCTCCCTGAATGTTCCTCTGTTCCCTCTCTCGTCCAAACCACAGCGTCTCGTTCCTCTGTTACAGGAAATAAAGTTTAATCAGTGTGTGTGTGTGTGTGTGTGTGTGTGTGTGAGCGCTGATATACGACAGAAAACACACTCACTGTACATGAAGAAACCACAGCGAGAGCCTGCTCACTCCACAGCATCTTCATCATCATCATCATCATCGTCACGCGTGTGTGTTTCTGTGCAGGGGGACAAAAGTGGGCAAAATTATTTTGATTTATTTTTAAAAAATACTTCCCTTGATCTGAGCGGGACAAGACGAACACACACAAACACACACACACAACACGACTCGATTCTACAATGTTAAGTGGGTGAAAAAACTCCTTAATTAATTGTTCGTGGACAGAAATGGGCACCCATATGGGAATGAATAAGGAAAAAAATAAATAATAATAAAAAAATAAATAAATCCAATACAATATATATCTACCATACACACACATGAAGGGCTGGTCCTGTACAACATTCTCATGGCAAAAACTATCACTCACTCACACACACACACACACAACACAAATTATGCATTCAGTGACCCTATGACCGAGCATTTTTTTATAAAAAAATTTTTTACAATTAAAAACTCTCACACATATAAAAACAAAGAATAGTGAGCTGATGTCGGAGCATGCATCATCAGACTCTCCACATGAGCGACTACTGTCTTTTTCTTATAGCATGGTCATATTTAAATAAATATAAATTTAATCTTAGCATACTTTGGCATCTTTGTATAGTCTCACCTAACACCAATATTTTTTATTTTTACAATTTTAACTTGCGATAGTCAAAAACTTAAGAGGTCAACCGTCAAATTCATTGGTTCATAGAGTTCAGCAGCCTATATGCCGCCATCTAGTGGCTATTGATATTAATGTTTTTCTTACCAACATAAGACAGCAGATGCCAGCAAACACACTTCATCTTTAGGTTTTAACTCTCAGAACTTTGTGGAATGGTATTTTAAATATAACATAAAATAAGCTCAATTTACAGAGAAAATGTGGTACTTTTAGAGGTAAATAAATTCAAAAATACCCTCAAAAAATGGATAGTATAAATTTAATCGAAGACAGTGACAGTTTATACGGGCTGTGAAGTGAACAGGGCATGAGGGTTAAAGTACGGTGGCCGAGAGGTGCAAAACAAATCACAATTATGAAAACAAAAAAACAAGTCAGAAAACACAACAACAAATCTGAAAACAAATTAACAAGTCAGAAAACACAACGACAAGTCAGACAAAACGGAAAAGGTAGGTATTTGTGGCGAATGGAATACTGATCGCTGATTAAACAAACATGTGCAAACATGTTTCTAATAATTCAACAGGCGTTATTTACTTCGAAACTCTTCACTGATGCATTTCAACACATTTGTCAGGTTAAAATGCTCTTGTGTGTGGGACTAATTTCTTTCACGTCGAGAGAGAGAGAGAGAGAGAGAGAGAGAGAGAGAGAGAGAGAGATTCCAATAATGAGACAGAAATGGATGTGCGTCGATATTGTTTTATTTATTTATTTCTTAAGTCAATCGTTAATTTTTTTTCTTTGGTTTTATACTGAGTTCTTAAAATGTTCGTTCACCATAAATATTAAAATGGGCTTTGGGATAGACTGAGTGTCATGCAGTGATTGTCCAGCAGGGGGCAGTGTTTCCCAGCACTGATCTGCCATAACTCACAGTGACCATACTAGGAGTAGAGATGTGGAGTAGAGATGTGGAGTAGATATGTGGAGTAGAGATGTGGAGTAGAGATGTGGAGTAGAGATGTGGAGTAGATATGAGGAGTAGAGATGTAGAGTAGAGATGTAGAGTAGAGATGTGGAGTAGAGATGTGGAGTAGAGATGTGGAGTAGAGATGTGGAGTAGAGATGAGGAGTAGAGATGTGGAGTAGAGATGTGGAGTAGAGATGTGGAGTAGAGATGTGGAGTAGAGATGTGGAGTAGAGATGTGGAGTAGAGATGTGGAGTAGAGGTGTGGAGTAGAGGTGTGGAGTAGAGATGTGGAGTAGAGATGTGGAGTAGAGATGTGGAGTAGAGATGTGGAGTAGAGATGTGGAGTAGAGATGTGGAGTAGAGATGTGGAGTAGAGATGTGGAGTAGAGATGTGGAGTAGAGGTGTGGAGTAGAGATGTGGAGTAGAGATGAGGAGTAGAGATGTGGAGTAGAGATGTGGAGTAGAGATGAGGAGTAGAGATGTGGAGTAGAGATGTGGAGTAGATATGAGGAGTAGAGATGTGGAGTAGAGATGTAGAGTAGAGATGTGGAGTAGAGATGTAGAGTAGAGATGTAGAGTAGAGATGTAGAGTAGAGATGTGGAGTAGAGATGTGGAGTAGAGATGTAGAGTAGAGATGTAGAGTAGAGATGTGGAGTAGAGATGTAGAGTAGAGATGTGGAGTAGAGATGTGGAGTAGAGATGTAGAGTAGAGATGTAGAGTAGAGATGTAGAGTAGAGATGTGTAGTAGAGATGTGGAGTAGAGGTGTGTAGTAGAGATGTGGAGTAGAGATGTGGAGTAGAGATGTAGAGTAGAGATGTAGAGTAGAGATGTGGAGTAGAGATGTGGAGTAGAGATGTGGAGTAGAGATGTGGAGTAGAGATGTGGAGTAGAGATGTGGAGTAGAGATGTGGAGTAGAGATGTAGAGTAGAGATGTAGAGTAGAGATGTGTAGTAGAGATGTGGAGTAGAGATGTGGAGTAGAGATGTAGAGTAGAGATGTAGAGTAGAGATGTGTAGTAGAGATGTGTAGTAGAGATGTGGAGTAGAGATGTAGAGTAGAGATGTGGAGTAGAGATGTAGAGTAGAGATGTAGAGTAGAGATGTGGAGTAGAGGTGTGTAGTAGAGATGTGGAGTAGAGATGTGGAGTAGAGATGTAGAGTAGAGATGTAGAGTAGAGATGTGGAGTAGAGATGTGGAGTAGAGATGTGGAGTAGAGATGTGGAGTAGAGATGTGGAGTAGAGATGTGGAGTAGAGATGTAGAGTAGAGATGTAGAGTAGAGATGTGGAGTAGAGATGTGGAGTAGAGATGTGGAGTAGAGATGTGGAGTAGAGATGTGGAGTAGAGATGTAGAGTAGAGATGTAGAGTAGAGATGTGTAGTAGAGATGTGTAGTAGAGATGTGGAGTAGAGATGTGGAGTAGAGATGTGGAGTAGAGATGTGGAGTAGAGATGTGGAGTAGAGATGTGGAGTAGAGATGTAGAGTAGAGATGTAGAGTAGAGATGTAGAGTAGAGATGTGTAGTAGAGATGTGGAGTAGAGATGTGGAGTAGAGATGTGGAGTAGAGATGTGGAGTAGAGATGTGTAATAGAGTTATTGTGCTGCTGTTCTCCAGGAGGATCTGGACTGAGAGGAACGCTCACAAACATCTGATCTGATCCAGACTAAACATCTGGTTGCCTCCTGGAGAACAGCAGGATTGATCGGCTCCACACACACACACACATCAGAAGCTCCACTGAACACTCATCTGTGTGTGTGTGTGTGT